AATCGTTATCTTCGAGATTTATTTATTATTATTATAAAACTGCAGCAGATATAAGCCACAGCAATAATACACACTCTCCGAAATAATATATATAATATATACGAGTATTATTCGTCGACGCCAGGCCTATTATAACTGGATCTATACGGGCATTATATCGGTTATTTAATGATATTTGTGCGACTCTGTTTAGTATATTTATATATATTTATATATATATATATATATATATATATATATATATTGTTATGACTTACAATATTACATACAGAGTGTATCTGAAGGATTTGACCGTTTTCCTATAGTATTATTACATATACTTGGAAATTTTCAAATCCTGCACAGATACACCCTGTACACATATATATATAGGTTTAGTATATACGATAAATAGAAAAAAAAGTGTACGGATAAGATAATTTTCGAGGAAAAAAAGAAAAGAAACACGTATTATATTTTTCTATACTATACGTGCGTCTATTATAGTCGACATAAATATATTATACGAGTGTTTTGAAATAAAATATAATATTTTATTAGACGTGGTGTAAGTACCTACATATATAAGTAAGTATAGGTTCAATAAAAAGTCGAATTTAACGCCCAGATAATAATATAATATATAACATACGCCAAAAGTGAAGCCAACGGAAAGAAACGTAAAAAAAAAAAAAATGTTTGTTTTTATATTTTTTATTTAAGAATGACTCCTGTGAGTGTACATGTAGTGGAGAAGTCGCTATTAAATAGATTTGCTAAGACGCATTTATTTTGACAATCAGAAAACATTTTTTTTTTTCGTTACCTAGTAAAAACGCTCGAAAAACTATACGAAAACATACGTTCATACACAGTATACCTCATAAAGACGCGCGATGGGTATTGTACAATACTATCCAAATTTTGTACCTATACACAATACCTACAATATCGTGGGTAGTGATTGGGCCATCCATGATGCAAGTGTGTAGATATGTTCGGGAGAAAGGAGCTAGTTTAAATCGAACCAAAAATAAATAATAAAGTATAATTAGTATAATGAAATATAATAAATTGAAGCAAATTTTCTATAATAATAATAGCAGATTGAACATACACAATAATACGTAAATATATATTATTATAAATCGGTGATTAAAGAAAGTCTCTTTAAATATTTGGCGTTGCCGAAACAAAAACAAAATCGAATTTATTACAAATGTCTATACACAAAATCACGTCACAAATAATAATTTTGGATAACAACGCAATCGGTTTGAAGCTAACGGACGAATCGCGAAAAGATGTGCTGCAGAGCGAAAAGTTTACACAGCGTCGGAGCAAAGATTTATTATTATTAACATGAAAAACTAAGTAAATCGAACATCATTTCCCCTCGCTCTCTACCTCCGACCAAGTTCAAAATAAATAAAACAATATTTCTCAGTGTTTACAAATGAGAAAAGAACGGGCAAATTGTTGTTTGAATAATGTTCTGTATAGCTGATGGTAGGTACTATATATTAAACGAAATATATATTGACATCCAAATAACAAATCGTGGCAATTTGCCGCAAGTGGTGTGTATAGCCGATATGATTAATATGAGTAGTGTCGAGATTGATTTAAGAAATAATGTTAAAGTAACCAAATTTAGAAGACAACGAAATTTTCGAGTAAGTATACGATGCAGGTACTCGTAAGTGATGTAAAGTATTTGAATATTACTTTAAATATGTTTTTTTTGTATTTTTATTTACTAAAAAAATAATTTTTTCCGAAATCAATAATATTTTTAAATTTGTAATATTAAATCGAATAATTATTTAAATAATTAGTAAAATTCTTCTGGAAAATTTTGCATACAAATAAACAGATTTATCTAAGTGTATATTGTATCTACGTGATCGAACCATTGTGTTACACGGCCCTGAGACCGGGGCTATACACGGCGTTTTCCGCGGATTCCGTGGTACTAATGGTCGGATTCAATATTCATTTCAGATTCGAAGTGTATTTAAAAGGATCTATTGGTTTTACTATGATGTGTGTGTTTTTTTATTTTGGTATTTAATTATTTTTTTTGTGCCTGGAACAACTATTCTACCAGAAATCTTGATTCGCAGTACTAATGATATAGCACATTTTTTGAAATTAAATTGTGTCTAGATAGTGCACTATGGAGGTAATTTTTCTAGGGAGTTTTCATAACAATTCCAAAATACCAGTATATGAGCTGAGAGCGAAAAATAGTAAGTCGCGCACCCGGGCACCAATTACTTCACGCGTAGTGTGTGCAACACGCGCACCTACTCGGATATCGGCACACTATCTAGGCCGACCAGGTCGGTCACTATATACCTATGTGTTTGTGTGTGTGTGTGTGTGTATAGCACTCAACAAGAAGTAGACGGATTCCCAGAGCACGTCCTGATAGTGCTAATGTGTGGTGATGTGTACATGTGTGTGTGTGTGCTGATAACTAACGGAAAAAGGTAACTAAAGATAATAACAAAAATAGCAATATGGTTAGTAATAAATGTTGCTGTATTATAGTTCTTCTGAATCAATAGATAAAAAAAAAATACAATTTAATAAATCTGTGTTCCTGGTAACAATGTATGAAAATAACAAAAATATCATTGGTATAATTCACAGTAACACAAAAATATACAATAGGTAAACAGTAAGAATAATCAAAAGTAAATACAAAAAAACTGATAGTGGGGATGAGAGTGGCCACTGTTGTAGGTGAGAAGTTGGGAAGGTAGGATAAAGAAGATTATTTTATTTATATCTATAAAAAACGATAAACAATTGCTGACAAAGACGATTCCAAGCACAGTTCAGTAATACATAATTTGAAATGCCGTATTTTTTTTTGCAAATTTTCATTTTAATTTAATCTCAAAACGCTTATTAAAAAAAAAAAAGTCATTCGATGATTTTGAGCATTTTACTACGTCTAGGTAAGTCCAATATAAGTATTATTACCAAGTTTCAAGTCACCACGAGTATTTATAACCGAATTCAAAACAAAAAACTCTCAAAATTTAAAATTCCTTAAGAGCTCAAAAGTTTTGGCGATGATACTGAAAAAAATAAATCAAACAAGTGTCTTGTAATTTTTCGATTAAATCATTTTTTCTGGAAAACGTCGTCCGTGTTTTTATAAAATAATGAAATCGTGAAATTGTACGTTTTCCTACGTTTTATCCCACTTAAGTATTTTTATTTAAAAAATGGCATCAAAAATCAAAACAATGTTCTATTTAAAGTACAATTAAGACAACCTGAGCTTTCATTTAGTTGCTACACGTAAAAATCTGAGCAAGTTCACTAGGAAAAAACGTGTCCACAGACTAGTACAACGAAAAAAAAACAAACATCTTAGTAAAACCAATAGCTCCTTCGCTACGCTCGAAATCTAAAATGGATATTACGGCTCTTTTAGCAAAACAGATGAAAATCTTGATGATTTGCGCGCACGAACAATATTAATAATAATTTAAAATAACTTACAGTACACGGAGCGCAGACTGGCCAGCCGTTTGTCTAAACCTAAAAAGAACACACTACACAATACACGGAAATAAATGAATACAAATAATTAGGTAAGTAGATAACTCACTCTGGTAACGTAATTTTTTTTTTTCAATCCGAAAATTGATTCAATGTTTAATGATGTCTCTATCGATAAAATAAGTTAACTATGGACCTAAATGAAAGTATGAAACTATACAAGACTGTTCATCGTACGTTAAAATATTGTCTATATTTATAAATGTACCGAAATAACTATACATAATTATGTGTTCCCAATCGTTTTCAGAAAAAATGTCTGGCATAATGATAAACATAGTCACACGCTAACTAGTGCAAGTGATCGGTCGATGAGTATCTATTATTATTAAATTGTTATATTTGAATGCGTTGGATATGTTTATTTAATTTATACAATAGTTTTCACATTTTCCATTTCTTAAAATATTGTTTAAAAATGCGGAATACGCTCTAACGTCATGGATAGTCCGTTCATCGGAAACGATATAATATAATATTTAATCATATTTGGTATTACCCATTTGCCCATCAATAATCAATTATGTAGTAAAAAATTCAACCGGTTTAACTTCAAGGAGGGCATTGACTTGAATCAAAACGTCTATAACTAAGAAATTATTCATCAAATATGAATGTATGATACATTATAATGTTTAGAATATTTTTTACAAAATGGCTATTTGAAAATTGTCTAAAGTGAATAAATATAGTTACTTTTTTTTGTGTTTAGGGATGAAAATAAAAATTCATTTTTTCTCCAAATCGATGTCCCCCTTGAAGCAAACCGATTAAAAAAAAAAAAATCGAAAAAAATTTGATATTAACTACATTAGAAAAATTCATCGAACATGGTATATCGCATAGACTAAAATCATCAGGAAATATAGGTACTTAAACAATTTTGTGAGGAACTAAAATAGAGGTTTGAAAAAAAATCAAATGAAACATAAACGTTCGACTATTTATACATTTGATTAAATATATTAATTAAAAACAAACAGATATACTGTGCACGATTGTTGGGTCACTGTTATAGATTAGAAGTTGGGGAAATTAATGTATATCTGTAAGCAAAGATTAATGATTGTTAAGGAAAAACGATTCTAAATGGAGTCAGTTATACATATTTTGAAAATCCGTAATATTAACAATTTGAAAATGATAAATTTCATAAATTTTCCTGTTTTTCCTACGTTTTTCTTGGTTTTTTCCATTGATTACGAAAACTTCTTAAATATATAATATTATATATAAATACGCTTATACAATTTTAATAATACGCACACAAAGTGGAAATTATACATTTTTACACTATGGATTTTAATATTAAACACCGTTGCCTATTATATAGGTATGGCTATAGATAAGCGTGATATTAACGTTACGGCGTCGTTAACCATCAAATATAAAATTATTATGCTTAAAAAAATAAGGAAATGCTGTCAAAATAGAAATATCTTGTCTGTTGTGGGGGGGTCAGTACTTTTGGGCCTCTGATCTTCAGGAGGAGGGGACGTTGTCCCGGCATTTCATACAAAGCGCTTTTTATAATCGTTCGTCGTAGTATTAAATTTAAATTATAGAAAATTTTGCTGTACTAAAATGAAACAATATTGTTATACAGAGTGTCACAAAGATATACCCATTGTAATATCTATGATAGTAATAAAGATAAACAAATACTGTTTTTTAAATTCGGAGCATAGGGATCTATTAGTTTTACAGTGTGTGCTTTTTTTTTTTTTTACAATGTTAACCTAACCAATTATTATGAAAACCGCTTGGAAAATGAAAAAATGGCCTGCCTAATGTTCCAACTAGACAAAATTTCCTTTCAAAAAAATTTGCCAAACTTAAAAGTCGGAGCGAAATTTCTTGTAGAAAAAAAATCGTAATATTATACTAATATATTTCTTACATTATCCCGTTTATCCTCCGTTTATTTTTCGGTTTTTCATGTTTGATGAAAAAACTCCTGAGAAAATCGACAAATGACCTCATTAAAGTACCTCCCCACACATATTTCTTTTCATAAAAAGGTGAAATATCATAATGTTTTTTTCAGTTTTGTTTGTACGTAACGATAAACTTATTCCTAATGGAAAACGATTCGGAGGGAAGTTCGGCGTAAGACATATTATGCATTTTTAGATTTGTAGCATTGCGAGGGATTTTAAAATTGTTATTGTTTTTAAAAATTCATCTTATTGCAATTTATATGGACACCGGCTACAAAACCGGCTGTACTCTTATACTGTTGTATTCGGTGTAATCGAATTTTATGAACTCTACCATTAAATTCCTGCAAATTACAATGGACAATGAAAATAGCTACAGGAAAACGATATTATTGATATACTACTGCATAGTAACTGGCATACTAGTATTATACTTGTAACAGTATATTTGTTATCTGCTGTGCAAATTCCTCGTTTGTGTAGTCGAGAAACAATTTGTTATAGTTAATTTATATTATTATTATAGTCTTGGGATATGCAGGGATGCTGCAATTACGAATAAAATGGAGGAAAACAAAGTATAATTTTTAATTTGCCGCAAAAACGACCTAACAAAAATATAACGAATAAAAAAAAAAATCAATTTACGACAGACATTTTATGTAAATGATAAATTAACACATTATAATATTATAATATATAATTACCATAATATAGGGCAATTGTAAAGTATGATTTTTGTGTCTAAATAGACACCCAGTCTAGACTAGATACTATTTTTGATTTTCAAACAGTGAGCTACAATTAATATTTCATAAATAAATAGGGCATTAGTTTAAATACATTCGGTGTTGATATTTTTGATTTCCGCCAACCTGTTCACGAAATATTCCATTTTCAAGTTTATGTAAGAGAGAGTAGTGGAGCACTTCAAACGCCGTGCGCCGTGCTGACACGCAATTAATGATACTCCGCTACAACCCCCCTACTAAAACTTAAAAGTGAAATATCTCGTAAATAGATTGATGAAAATCAAAAATCTCAAGTCCTAAATTTATTTAAACTAATACTCTATTTATTTACGGAACTCTAATTGTAGGTTACCATTTGAAAATTAGAATTCAGTAGTCATTTCACCCCCAAAAATAAGGACAATGAAAATTAATAATAATGCAATATTTTAGAATTGTTTCTTAAATTGGCAAACATTTTTTTTTTTTTTTTTTTAAAAAAAAAAATCAATATTTTAAAAGTATTATTGAGTGTTCAACGATAACGTATATTAGAAAAACTGAAGTTCACCAGTTATAGTAATACACCAAGGTCCAAAAGGGGTTTAATTGATTAACTTGACAAATAAAATATGCGTTAACATAAAAAAATATTTGAAAATAATTACAAATTTGTGCTATAGCTAGTCTATATACCATCTAGAATTTAAGGAGTAAACAAATAAATAGTGTATTTAATTAATTTCAATTTCCTCTTAGTATAAGCAAGCAAATTGTGCGATGATTAACCTGCGAACCATTTGTTTACACCATGGATATTTTCATGAGTGGATGACCTATCGGTAAGCAGGGAATTTTTCGGTGGGCTCTCCCAACGGGGCTCTTGGATTACCCTTGTTAGTGATGAACACGATCAAAAAACGGCTTTCTTCATTACCAAACTAGATTAAAAATTCAAAAAAAAAATCTCTTGTTATTTTTTTTTAATTGAAGCTATGTTTCTGGTAGAGAACATAAACCGTAAAAACAGAAAATTGTAGAATCGTAACGCCGTAAATTGATCAGTTTTTATTTTTTGTCTTTCTCTAGTTTTTTCCAATTATTATGAAAACCCCTTGGAAAAATGACCACTAACTAGATAAAATTTTATTTCAAAAAAGGTGCTATCATTGATAATTCGAATAAAGATTTCTGGTAGAAGAGTTGCTCACAGGCACAAAAAAAAAAATTTAAATACAAAAAAAAAAACACATACCTACACATCATAGTAAAACCAATAGATCTCTCACTACGCTTCGAATCTAAAAAGGTTGTGTGAGGAGATATATTTACCTAATCTCCTCCTCTACCCACCTTAAATACACCTATGGCGTATCTTTTTTAATAACATACGCACAATAATAATTATATTTAGTCCAATACTCGACCACTGTGTATAATAATATCCTCATATCTCTAAACTCAAATATTCCCAATAAGCTTATTAGGTTACCATTTTGATAATTTGAATTTATAAATTATATTGTTATTGTAATATTAACGTATTATGGTAACGATAGTCAAAATTTATGTTAAATTAAGAGTTGGTCGAATACCTATTAGACCTGTTACTCGACTTTATTCGAAAATAATATTACTCGACTCGATTCGATTTCAAAAAACTATAACGTGCCCAACTCTAATAATTATAATAATAACAAATACGTTTGACATAAAAAAAATATATAATATGTAGGTAGGTAGGTAATTTATTATAATTCTATAATAATAATAATAAAAATAAGTACTTATTATTTCACTGATTGTGAACATGCTTAGGAACGCGCGATACCGTCTGCAAAATGCCGTACGCTATTATACCAACGGTTATGATATTATTATTTTGTTGGTTCGGCAGCACGATGTTGTTCGACCGACAACAAGTCGAAATGTCGTACGTATACGATTTACGATAATATTTCTATATAATATGGAAAATAATAATAAACACCTATATTATCGTTATTAATATTTATCGTGCGTTCGCTTCGGCGCAAACTCGCACTTATATAGCACAATGTATAACAATAATATGGTAGATGGGTGTAGTCTGTGTGTGTGTGTGTGTGTGTGTGTGTTTATGTGTGCGTACGCGCGCGCACATGTGTGTATAGAAAATGTTTAAATCGTCTCGGAGCAGTTCTCTTCGACGCCGCCACCGCTGCGGTAAAACAAAATATCTAACAAAAGCTGCCGCGCGTGTAACGCCGGAACGGTGTAAAGCGTATTTACATAATATTTGATTTAGGACCTCACACGCTCGTATACGTGTTGTTCGTGTATCTATAGATAGGTACGTGTATAATAGTCCTATACAAAAGATCCGGGCCGAAACAGGAATCGTAAATTGAAACGTTTAGTTCACGCCGCTCCGGTCGATATCTATAATAATATAATATCAAACAAAAACTAATTATTTTTACCTACAACCACATTATAAATAATACTTACTGGTATATATTAACTACATGCGATTTAATGATAAACGCGAAACATACACGAATATATAGCCGATTGGGTAATATTATATGTCGAGTGATCGATAATCAAACGTTATTGAAGTCCTTTGATATAAAATACGTTTCTCATAGAAGACACGTGTTATACAATGCATTTATTTTTGATTATATGCTTTAGTAAGTACAATAGATTTCTATATCAAAACTAAGTTCAGTACACGCCACAATTTTATCTGTGTTTCAATAACTTTTTAATCACTTAAACACCAATTGGAGGCCAAGATACAATAGGGTGGGCACAGTTATGCAATAATGGCACAACAAGAGGAGAGCCGGTCTGGACTTTCACTGAACCCTACCTTAAATAATTTTCTTTATGGTTAAAAATGTTTATTTATTCTGGAATTTAATTTCTCAAGATCTTTGGCACCACCGGTCGTTCTTTTTTTGTTATTTTAGACATAGTTATGATATTAGTAAATTTATTGCTTCAAAATAATTTTTTTTTCAAATTAATATTACTGTAACGAAACTGATATTATGCTGGTATGCGACAAACGTGTAGATGTAACGGACTGAATACTAAAATACTTTACTAACGAATTAATTAATTAATTACTGACGAAAAACGATTTTAAGAAAAGTATTATTACCTATATAGATTTTTCCTTTTTTTGTCAAGGTAAACCAGAAAACGACCTAAATTATACAAAGAATAGTGTATAAGGACAACTATGACGAAACAATGGCACCCTCAGTGCACCACCTAGATCAAAAATGCTATAAAATGTTTGGTTGGAGTAAGGTTTCTGAAAAGCAGAAAAGTGATATACAGAAAAAAGAAACCACCATATCTAACTAGTAAAACCGATATATTTTTCGTTTCGCTCAAAATCTAAATTAGTATACTATTAAAATACGTGCCCAAATTTAAAATATTGTAAATTATATTTAATTCGTATACCAAACACTGCTTATTATTTTACTGTGTTCCCGAAGGGATTTAAATGGGTAAAACGGTTTTAGATGAGCGCACTACACCGTAGAAGTTGAAGTGGGCGAGCGGCCGTAGATCAAGTTGAATTATTATATTCTACGCTAATATCAATTATTATTATTACAATAATTGTTACGCCGTCGTCGTTCGTGCGGTTTTCAAGTAATAGATTAAACCGATTTTTTTTTTTTTTTTTGTGAACTACAAACGACGCCGTTATTTATATGATATTTTTGCAGTACAAAAACAAAAAACAAAAATGGCATCGAAAACATCCGTGTGTAGCGCGACAAAATAAATGTAAGGATATAATAATAATGTGTGGTGGTAATGGTCGTTTTTATATTTTGTTTAAAGTAATTATCAGTGATATACCGTAGTATGTTTTAAGCAGTCGAAAAAAAAAGAATACTAAGCGGGGGTTTTATACATGCTAAAAAAAAAAAACCTCTAAACATAAAATATACAAAGTGAAGCTTTCTTCCATACACTTCTGAACATTCTCCTAATCTAATAATCGAAAACATCATATTATTATTATTTTTAAATTCTAAGTGGAGCGAGGAATGTGTTGGTTTTACAAAGTTATTTATTAATATTTTTTTTTTTATCTAAGCGTATTTTTTCTAGCAGAAGACTTACTCGGATTTCTAAGTGTAGCACTTTTTTGTAAAAGGAAATAGCATGGGGAGGTATTTTAAATAAGACATTTTTCGATTTTCTCAAGTGCTTTATCATAAAATTTTAAAAACCGAAAAAAAAATGGGAATATATATACGAAATATATTAGAGAATTATTAAAGAAAATATACAAAGCCTATTTAATTATTTTACTATAAAATTACATATATTGTTGACAAAGCATCATAATCAACTGAACTTCTCTCTGAATTGTTTTGTCGTGAGCAATAGTTTATCGTTGCTTATAGGCATACATTAAATTATTTATAACAGTGGTTGCACCCGTTCCCATTATTCTAGGTCGTATTTTTTTATTATTTTTTATCTGTGAACAACTTTTTCATCAGCAATTTTTCTCCGATTTTCAATACTAACAATTTTTCTGAAAGAAAATCTAACAGAGATGATACTACATAGAGATTATTTTTTAATATT